ATATACATATATATATATATATATATATATATATATATATATATATATATATATATATATATATATATCTTTATGTATATATGAAATGCCTCTTTTGGAGATCATTGTGGTTACTCCCGTGGGAAGGAACTTCACTATTGCCGTTGCTTTTATGTCACGTGAAGATGAGGACACTTATGCATGGACATTGCGATGTTTGCGAGACATATTACCAATCGGGATAGAACCAGAAGTGATACTGACAGATCGTGAGTTGGGCCTACTGAAAGCATTGCCAAACGTGTTTCCACATTCGCATCACATGTTATGTTTATATCACATAAACAGAAACGTTGAGGCAAACGCGTCAAAATTCTTGGGTAACACCAAGTTGGGTGTACTATTCCGTAGGACGGTGTGGGCAAAGTTAGTCGAATCTGAGACTGAGGAAGAATACGAATGCAACTATAGAGAGATAGTTAGTTTGTACGGGCAATATCCGAAGTTGATAACTTACATCAATGAAACGTGGTTGATTTATAAGGAGAGATTTGTTAAGTGTTGGACCAACAACATCGTTCATTTCGGTAACACGACGACTAACAGGTATATAAATTGATTTTACTATAAACTCGTTACGTACAATATTTTATACACATGTTACATTTATTCATTATTTGAGTGTTTTCTCAAAACAGGGTAGAGAGTGCACATCGTGCATCGAAGCGTTGGATCCAAACATCGACTGGAGCTATGGATACAGTTCAAAATGCACTACATGCGCAAGTTGACCTTCAAATTAATGAATTGAAGGTGGAAAACGAAAGCAGTAGAACAGTCAGGATGTACAGTACTTCACTGTCGTGCTTCGGTGCTTTGGTATGTAACATATCACACAAAGCACTGGACCTGTTGGATAAAGAGTACGAAAAGTTGGAAAAGAATCCGGATAGTTGCAACTGTTACCTAAGCTGAACCCACGGACTCCCGGCAACTGTTTCCGGCGGCCAGGCTTCACGGTATTGCGACAGGTCAATGAAGTTGGCGTACTCGTTCTGCCACAAGCCGCCAGGAGCGTGGAAAGTGACTTTGTATCCCGCGCCAAACAAACCGCGGTTATGTGGCAAGTTCGATTCAATTATCGGGAAAGGGATAGTCTGGACTCTTCCAAACTGCCGCAACGCTCGGTCGGGCATGTACGGCTCCACTATATCCATGAACTGTATCGTGCCGTAATACATGCTCCGAGGATGCAAGTAATGTGCACCGGTACCATACGGGGTCCAACAAACCTAAGCATATTTTAAACTAATTAGAGAAATCCGTAACTCTACTATAGACATAATTAGAAAAATTATTACTCACATCTCTTTCGGTCATGGCGTCGAGTATTTTCCGGTATTCCTGCAGCGTGGTTTTATTGCCTCCACCATGGGCCCACCTTCTGCATCGAGGCTCAAAATCGGCATATGAACGGGAAAGAGGTGGTCGAAAGCAGGTGAAATACTCAAAGATCCAGCACTGCAAATAAAAACCAATGAAACGTTGTTGATATTACCTACATAGAAGTTTAAATAAATAAATAATTACTAATAAAGGTACACGTACTAGAAGGAGAATAACACATCCACATAGACTGTTCATCCCAGCGCGGGTGGCAATACCCAATTGGCGGTACATGTTTGCTAAGCATGCTGAAGCCCACGAATACTTGCCGACATTATCGAGATCGTTGGTAAAATGGATCCACCACGGCTTCATGTTACACGCTGTTTTGTCTACAAACAAAACAGACCCAAGCAGAAACATCAAGTAGCCCTTCATCTTCTTCTCGTCTGTGGTGGAGGGAAGGGTCAACTGATCTCTCACTTTAACACAACCAATTCCCTTGTTTCGAAACATCTCATTGGTGTCCATCAGACCGACACCCAATAGAGATGCAAGACTCTGTGAGCATTCTTCTACCGGGCGAATTTCAGAAACTGGCGGTCCGTCCAGCCGCAACGCCAGGATGAAAGCGACATCGTGGAGCGTGATCGTCATCTCGCCCCATGGCATGTGGAAACTGTTCGTCTCCGGCTGCCACCTCTCCACGAAAGCTAGCATGAGGTTCTTGTTCATCCTCTTCAGAGAACAGTCTCGTAAGTGGTAAAGACCTGTTGCCTCCAGCCTCGCAATCATCGTGTTATCCTGCGGGCCGCGGTAGTCCTCGAGTGCTTTGCTCCTCGACTCCCACCGTGTAGTTTCACGGCGCTCCTGAAAAATATTGCATGTATTGTTAGCTAAAAAAAATGAATAATATAACAATTATGTAAAGCACGTGTTGACAGAAAACTTACATATCCTTCCCAAATGTACATCGCTATATGCGACTTGAACCATCGCATAAACTCGTAATTTTGTGGCCCTCCCTCGCACGGACCCTCCAAGTACGCCGGACCAGGCAGCTGCGGAAAGGGTAAGGCACGACCACCTCTACGACCCTGATATACATCTGCTGGTTCATCATC